ATATAGCAGCTTGAAAAATGTTATGATACCAAATATCCAAAAACGTATTATAAAACAGCTTGGCGCTTAAAATACAAGATACATGTGCAAAAAAAATCAGTAATATACAAAATCACAAAAATATGTCACATACTTATAATAAAAGTTGTAAATATTATATAAAAAACATTTACCATTCAAGTGCAATTCCATATATTACCTACTCAAAGTAAATGTAGTGTATGAAAATAACAGAAAAGAACAGCATGTGCTAAAAGTTCATAAAAAGAAAGACAGTCCCAATTCCAAGTGAATATACAGAAGTGCCAGCTTCAATAATCTATATTCATGCAGGTGCATCCCCCCTCACAATGCTCAATGGAAGCTTGCCAGATTGGCTTGATCCTCAAATTATAGAGTAGTCAAGAACAGCTTTGTATTGAGGATCCCTCTGGCTGCTGCAAATATCCAGGCATACCATGATAAGTAACCCCCTTGCTCTCTGGTGCCAATCCTAAACTCACAATAAATCCAGGCAAGGCATGCCAGGAAAAAACACGCTCTCCATAGTGTAAATACCGAAAGTTAATAGTCTGATTTATTGAAAATACTTTTACAAGATCCAATGGTTAAAACAGCACTGTATACAGAGATCTGCACATGCCCACATCCAAAATGGCCGCTGTCCAGCACTCATGCATGGTGACGTATTCTCTGGCTCCTGCTGGTGCGTTTCGTCAGCGGTGACATTATCAGGGGTTGAGTAAAAAAAAAAAATATTCATAAATTTAGACCAAAATGTATTCTGCTACATGTCTTCAGAAAAGAATCCGAATAAGTGTATATTGATTGGTTTGTGTTAAAGTTATAGCATCTAGAAACTATGGCATATATACAGGAATTTTATTTATTTATTTTTATACTTCTAATGGCAGTGATCAGTCCTTTTTTCAGTCAAGGCACCCTTTATAATTATGCACTATCTGAAGGCACCCCATTCTCAGATGTTTAAAACTAAACTAATAGCTTTACAGGACACCAAAGAGGGGATTTATTCTTCCAAAGCAAACAAACCTTTGCACGTTGGTAATGACTAGCATTCTATTGTTTCTCTTCTCTCTCAGTTTCTCTCCCTGACTCTGTGACCCCAGTGCTGAAGGGGAGAGGAATACAAGGATGCTGTGCAGAAGATGACGTCCTCCATATCAACTGATAACATCATTGATTGTTAGGATGAAGGTCACAATGGTGCACAATGAAAACATGTGGCTTTGTGTAACTAAAAGGTAGGCTTGATCCATCAGCTAGCTTATATAGAATTTTTGGGAAATTTTGCCAAGGAACCCCTAACAAACCTGAAGGCACCCCAGGGTGCCTGGGCGCCCTGGTTGAAAAAGGCTGGACAAACTGACACTGGCATCTCCATTGACACTAATACAGTGATCAACGATAATACTATACACTGTCACCAGGGGTGGACTGACAACTCATGGGGCCCCCGGGCAATAGGGGATCATGGGGCCCCTGTGTCCTTGCCCAAACTCAAAAAAGCCTATGAAAAAGGTACTAGGGGTATCTCATGGAGCCCCCTACTGACCCCGGGCCCTCGGGCAGTGCCTGAGTTTCCAAATGGTCAGTCCGCCCCTGACTGTCACTATACTGTTAACACTGGCTGGGAGGGGGTTGACATCTTGGGTTAATCAAGTGGTTAATTGTGTAACTAACAAGTCCTAATGTGTGTAATATGCATTACTTTTTACTAAAGATCTGTTTGTTTCTTTTCCCTACTGTGCACATGTGTGGATCCTAAACCCAGACTCGAACCCATACAGGTACGTCACTGTGCTTGTAAGAGCCACCCGTACGGAAATGGTTAACAACTGGTAAACCTAAAATGTAAATTGAAATAAATTGGCCAAAAACATTCATCAGCCCTGGAGACATCAATAAAAAGGTCCCTCCTATTAATTTTTCTTTTCATAAAAACCTTGGCAGTGCCACTCTGAGACTACTTTTACTTTTTTTATAAAGGCCTAACCTACTTAACTTAAGCCTGCCTTTTTTCAGTGCTACACACCATCAACCAGCCCATTGCCCAATGAGAGTTTTATGTGAGCCAGCAAAATTGGGCTTATATGACCTTTTAGACAGCACTTTTATTTTTAGAGTCAGAGTGAAAGACAGGCTCTTTTTAGGCCTGGTTCACACCAATGCGATTTTAGTGCTTTTGCAGTCCATTTAACATGGTTTCCTATGGTATTCACATCATCTTGCTTTTTTGAGCAGCTGTGTTTTTGGAAAGGGTTAGGGACTTTTTTAAACGCAAAAAGCAGCATTTTTGCTACAATAGAGTTCAATGGAAATACTGCTGCAATGTAGTGCGTTTTTGCCACATTTATGCTGTATTTTTGCTGCATTTTACATTTATATTATGCCCAACAACAAAACAAAATAAAACTGAAAAACGAAAAATGTGGTACAAAACATGTTAAAAGCACATGTGTAAAAACGCAAAGTGACATGCAAAAAACATTGCAAAACTGGATCAAAAGCAGACTGCATTCGTATACACCAGGCCTTAAACTCATTGAACAAAGACAGCAGTAGCACTCTGTCATCATACATTAGAGTTTGCATTGATAGTATACATATAGGTATTATAGGGTGAACCATGACACTGGTGTCACTAAACATTTTGTATTCAATAGTAGCCATTATCTTACTAACGGAAAGTGTCTTTAGACCTATACAAAGCTGACAGGAGGGGATACTCTCTCATTTTGCTTCAAAGTAGAACTATAGGCATTTTTTTTTTCATTTTGGATAGAACACGTGAGGGTTATAACCCCTGTAAGATTTTTTTTCACCATCTGTATCCCATTGTGGAGTTTTCCCTTCACTTCCTGTCCCATAACCGAAAAGGAAATGAGAGGAAATCCCTGAAAATTAAGGGAATTCCTTGGGGACCCCCAGGTCACCAGAACTAGTGCCCCCATTGAAAGATTTACCCTCTATTACTTTTTTGGGGACAACCCAAAATTTGGGATTTTCTTTTACTTTCATTTCAATGATAATGGTAAACAGGACAAATAGAGAAGGTGAATCTCCTTAACGGGGCACAGACAGCAATAACAAACTCACAGGGGATCTAATCCCTCTCCACTTAGAAAAGTTTTGCCTTTAGTTATACTTAAAGAATAGGTTAATTTTTATGAAAAAAAATAATAAATGCATATATTTTTACAGAAATTTTTTTTCCACATAATAATTTTTCCAGCAGGAGCCTGGAAAGCATTGCACCGGAAATCAATAGATCACAGGTGAAATGTGGGCTCCTGCAGATATGTCCTCTGGCTTTCAGTCCATACCTCTGTACAGGCTTTCTGTTTGAAAGCCAGAGGACATGTCAATGGACTATGAGAGCATTCTTCAGAGACACAGCAGCCCACTGCAGCTTCAAGTCCATTTGCTGTGGTGGCAGACATTGGTACACTGGTAGTTTGTTCGTTCACAGGAAACTGTGAATGAATGACACGGTTGTGTGGTTGGAGCTCCACACAGCTGGGCACTTTTCAAAAAGTGACATTGGATGCGGAGAGAACCACCACCCGCTGTAGTGGGGGAAGGGGGATTGGGGCGAGAGGTGACAGAAGCTGGACCATATTACATGCTTCACCCTAAACACAGGTAAAACATGTAACATGTTCTGAAAGTCAACTTATCTTTCAAACAAAGTGTTCTGTTCATCCAACCAAGATTATTCTGGTAAATGCATGAAAGTGAGCCTCTTCCTACTAGCTGTATGTTCCAATATGAAATACTGTATTTGTGTGCAATATTTTATATTTAACACACAAAATACAGCACAAGGAGAGTATATATGGTGTCATAATAAACAGCCCAGATAAAGTTTCCGATATCTTTATGGATTACTTGGCTTTGAGTGCCAATTGCGGGCTAATTCTAATGCCACACATGATGCTCAGCTATATTGCCCAAGCAATGAACACTCATATGGTGGTGTTGAATCAATGAGATTGGCATCCAGACACATTGGGGTTTATTTACTAAAGCTGGAGAGTCCAAAATCAGACTCCCTTCTGCATAGAAACCAATCAGCTTCCAGGTTTCACTGCCAAAGCTTCATTGAACAAGCTGAGGTTAGAAGCTGATTGGTTTCTATGCAGAAGGGAGTCTGATTTTGGACTCTCCAGCTTTAGTAAATAAACCCCATTGACTCAACACCACCACAAGTGTTCATTGCTTGGGCAATGTAGTTGAGCATCATGTGTAGCATTGAAATTAGCCCTCAATTGGCATCTAAAGCCAAGTAATCCATAAAGACATCAACAACATTATCGGTGCTGTTGTTAGAACACCATATATACTCTCAAGGTCCTTGCGTTGTATTTTCTATGTTATCCTTTGACTTCTTCTACTCTCGTGGTTTTCTACAGCAGCATGACTATAGGGACTATTTCAGTTACCACTGGCCAATAAGGTTTCTAGCCTTGGTTTATTGTTTGTGCTGTTTATTGTGTTATGTTTACCTGACTAAACTATATATAAAAAAATATACAGAAAAACAATATACATTCTTTTTAACTCCCATTTCTGGGTTTATGCAAACCCTTTACCCATTCCTCCCTCCAACCCTGTTACCACCTACCCACCCACACACTGTTTTTAGCAAAAAAAACAAACAAACAAACAATAAAACCTCTTTTCTGCTTTCCTCTGCATCTTGTATCACTTGGCAGCACATTTTAAAGGAATGGAGACCAGTAATCAGTGCTGCCTTTTTCATGAGATCATTGTGCTACTGCAGTCTTCTGGAGCCTGTGAGGACCCCATTACTGAACAGCCAATAGTAAATGTCACCTAGGCAGTAATATGGACACCAGAAGAAGGAACCCACGCTCTGCAGTATAGAAGACAGAAGACTTGTTATGCAACTATGGATGTAAGTACCTTATTTTTCACTCCATAAGACGCACCTGACCATAAGACGCACCTAGGTTTTAGAGGCGAAAAATAAGAAAAAAAATATTCTGAACCAATGGACTGCAGACACAGTACAGGAAATGACCAGAGACTGTGGACATACTACAGGAGATGACCAGAGACTGCAGACATAGTACAGGGGATGCCCAGAGACTGCGGACACAGTACAGGAGATGACCAGAGACTGCAGACATAGTACAGTGGATGACCAGAGACTGCGGACACAGTACAGGGGATGACCAGAGACTGCGGACTTACTACAGGAGATGACCAGAGAGACTGCAGACAGTACAGGGGATGACCAAGAGACTGCGGACAGTACAGGGGATGACCAGAGACTGCGGACAGTACAGGGGATGACCAGAGACTCTGGACAGTACAGGGGATGACCAGAGACTGCGGAAAGTACAGGAGATGACCAGAGTCTGCGGACAGTACAGGGGATGACCAGAGACTGCGGACAGTACAGGGGATGACCAGAGACTGCAGACAGTACAGGGGATGACCAGAGACTGCAGACAGTACAGGAGATGACCAGAGACTAAGGACACAGTACAGGGGATGACCAGAGACTGCGGACATCGTACAGGAGAGGACCAGAGACTGCGGACAGTACAGGGGATGACCAGAGACTGCAGACAGTACAGGAGATGACCAGAGACTGCAGACATAGTACAGGGGATGACCAGAGACTGCAGTCACAGTACAGGGGATGACCAGAGACTGCAGTCACAGTACAGGGGATGACCAGAGACTGCGGACACAATACAGGAAATGACCAGAGACTGCGGACTTACTACAGGAGATGACCAGAGACTGCAGACAGTACAGGGGATGACCAAGAGACTGCGGACAGTACAGGGAATGACCAGAGACTGCGGACAGTACAGGGGATGACCAGAGACTGCGGACAGTACAGGGGATGACCAGAGACTGCGGACAGTACAGGGGATGACCAGAGACTGCGGACATAGTACAGGAGATGACCAGAGACTGCAGACACAGTACAGCAGATGACCAGAGAATGCAGACAGTACAGGAGAGGACCAGAGACTGCGGGGCACAGTACAGGGGATGACCAGAGACTGTGGACAGTACAGGAGATGACTAGAGACTGCGAACACAGTACAGGGGATGACCAGAAACTGCAGACAGTACAGGAGATGACCAGAGACTGTGGACAGTACAAGGGATGACCAGAGACTGCGGACATAGTACAGGAGATGACCAGAGACTGCGGACACAGTACAGGGATGACCAGAGACTGCGGACACAGTACAGGAGATGACCAGAGACTGCGGACATAGTACAGGAGATGACCAGAGACTGCGGACATAGTACAGGAGATGACCAGAGACTGTGGACAGTACAAGGGATGACCAGAGACTGCGGACATAGTACAGGAGATGACCAGAGACTGCGGACACAGTACAGGGATGACCAGAGACTGCAGACACAGTACAGGAGATGACCTGAGAATGCGGACAGTACAGGGGATGACCAGAGACTGCAGACAGTATAGGGGATGACTAAGAGACTGCAGACCTTTGGGGAGGGAGGGGGAGGGGTACCTGAATTTGACAGTTGACCTCCCTTTAGTTTCTTATGGAGTTTTGCTTTAAGAACAATCCCTGGCTTGATTACAGCTGTAACTACAGTTTTTAGTAAGCACACCAGACATATCCCTGACTATTATGACAGTTGTCCCTGCACTCTTTTATACAGTTTCCTGTCATACCATTGAAATCCTGCTACTGTGGGCAAATCAGATTCATTTGAAATGCAGGAGAGGCTTAGCCAGCTCCCCATAACACATCAAGGTTTTTAGGTAAGATGTTTCATCCCTGAGACAGTCAATGATTATTTTCACAGAAGGCCCTAATTGCAGTATTGTAAATTCTACACTTCGTACTAAATCCTGGAACGTTTGTACAATATATGCAGTAATTTGCACGCATGTTAAAAAGCATGGTTTAAATTAAACAGCATTTGGGTCTCATCCACTCCTGTGCTATTTTTGTGAAACAACAGGCTGAAGGGAATTATTCCACTAGACAGGCAGAGTTATATTTCCAAGCTCTAATGCCTCTTCCTGTAGATTCTGTTTCCTACAAAGAATTATTAAGTATGAACACACACTTCAAAAATGCTATTACGACAGTTTAGCAGATGGTTGATATTGTGGGTCGACCCTACAAGGCCTGGTATTTATATAAATAATAGTTTATGCATTCTCATAAATAGAGGGTGATTAATATGAAATCCATTTGCAGAAATCAAGCATTAACTGAATATTTCCTGAAACCGCAGCACAAAATATGTTAAACATGATCAGTTAATCCATTATAATGCGCCTCTTCTGTTTTCTAACTTACAGGAAAGTTAATGCAGAAAACTTTTAGATAAAAAAATTAGACGAACAAAGTGATCTGAATACACCCAGATCCATCCCAGCGCATCCATTTTCTTTTTGCAAATTTAAAGTGACTGTATCATGAGAAAAATATGGGGGCTGCCACTGCCGTCCCGCTTTTGGAAATAGAAACTGCTTAGCTGTGTCAGGCTTTAATATTTTGAATTACAGATCCAACACAAGCATGCTGTAAATGAGTCAACAAAGTGTCAGAATTCTTTATCTCTATATTTGATCCAGGTTAGTGCTTCAAAGAACATTGAAACCAAAGTATCGGCATGACAGTCATGGACAGAGATATCAGCATTGGTGGCCTTTATACATTCCTCATGACAGAGTCACTTCAAGAAAGAAAATGGTTTAGTTTACCTACCTTATCAGGTAGACCTTTAAAAGCACACGTTTTGCTTTGGATCAAGTGTCCTGCTTTAAGTGATATAAAAAGCATTTAAAAAAAAAATAACAATTCCAATTGTCAGGTCATTCTTACTTGCTCTGTGCAGTGGGGTTGCACAGAGCAGCCCCGATCCTCCTCTTCTCAGGTCCCCCTCTGGCGCTCCTGGCCCCTCCCTCCTTCCAAGTGCCCCCAGAGCAACCAGCACAGCCCTCCCCCTTCTCTGCTCATTGGCTCACTGGCTGTGATTAACAGCAGTGGGAGCCAATGGCTCCTGCTGCTATCTCAGCCAATAAAGAGGGAGAGTCCCCAGAGAGATGAGACTCTTGTACACAACATTGGATTACGATGGGGCTCAGGTAAGTATTAGGGGGGCTGGGGGCGCTGCTGCCCTCTCATATCCCCCTGAGGAAGTCACGTGACCTGGTGCTGCAACGCATAGGGGAGGGGCTCTGATGTCACGACGTTGTCTCGGATCAGTACGGCGAGAGTATAGCAGATACTACAGGCAATTCTCTCACTAGCTCATGGGAGAGTGTCATTATTACACTCATAGAGTGGAGAGACCCCAGGTGGAATATTATATTACTACAACGGTCCATTTCATATCTGGAGGAATATTCACAAAAGGAGGAATAAGGTTACACCAGTCCTATGAGGACAACAAGCGTTTTTTGCCTATTATCTTAGGCAAAATACAAGGTGAGCACATACTAAGCACACACTACACGTGGATTTTGGGAGAGGCACCTGTTGATGCTGAATTTATTGGAAGAGGACTTTGTGCACATTTTTATTATTTTTTCTATTATTTTTAATTATTTTTTAATTTTTATTTTCATTTAATTTTTATATTTAAATATGGACTTGGATATATTGATTTGATTATTTTTTGTTTTTCATTATTTAGCACATTGATATTTTTATAGAGTGATATATGTGATACACAGTATAATTTTTATTAATTAATATTTATCTTTATTTAATCTATATTAATATATGGGAGCGCGACACTGCTTTATTATTATCATTTCAAATTCAATGACACTGTGCTCTTCAAACTGAATCCAGATATTTAGCCATTGACTTTGTCTGTAAAATAAATAGTATTTAAAAATCCAACGTAAATCCAGCATAGGGAGCTGTAAGAGCAAGTGAGGGTTATAACCCCTGCTGGTTTATTATTTGCCATCTGTGTCCCATTGGGGAGATTTCCCATCACTTCCTGTCCCATAGCCAAAAAAGGAAGTGAGAACATTTCTGCAAGATAAGGGAATCCCTTTGGGGATCACCAGGTCACCAGAACCAGTGTCCCCATTAGAAAAAATTCCCCTCTCTTACTTTTCTGGGGACAATCCAAAATGTGGGGTTTTCTTTTACTTTCACTTTTGATGATAATGGTAAACAGGACAAATAGAGAGGGGGAATCTCCCTAATGGGGGCACAGACAGCAATAAAAACAGGCGTTCTCATCACTCCCCACTTCATCCAAAAAAAAAAATTGCCTTTAGTTATATTTTAATATCTCCATGGAAGCCTTGGCCCATGGTGGAAAGATCTCTAGGTCAGAGCCAACAGTCCTGGCAAAAAACCTTTACATGTGTCACCGTCAGCTGCCCTTACACTTATAGATGCAAGCAAGCTGGGTGTTATTAATGTAGGCCACAGTAACATGGTACAACCACTGCTTAGCATTGGAAATTTGCTGTATTTTACAGGATGCTCCACAAATATAGCTATTTTTCAAACCTGGATTTGTGAGGGCCAAAACTTGCAGCACAAACACTAAAACAAATGGTGCATGTTGTAGGATAACTGGCCACTTGTTCAGTTATTCGTGTTTTACACAAACAAATAAAGAAACTATTGCCTCTGGATATAATCCTTTGAGAATAAATACCTTTATCCAGTTACACCTCCAGCTAGGCACTTCTGCTGTGTGTTCTTGGGGATTTTTTTGAAGAACCTCCTTTATTCTTTACATCCCCCTATAGAACCACTAGATTGGATGTTGTCAGTACATTGTGTTACTTCCTTGAAACAATAATAATTCTGTATAATATCAGACACAATATATTATATAATACTGTTGATTTTCCCATTAAACATATCCTTGTCCTCTGTATTCTCTCAACTCTATGCTTCCAAATACAAATTTGGTCTACGTGATGCAACACACACCAGCAATGGAGTTAATGATCACCAAACAATAGTCAGCAACAGACGTTTCACTAGCTGAGCCTTGGGCTTTTCATAACTTGTTGACGTTTCCGAACACGCTCCCACATTTGAAGAAGATTTTAAGAGCCTTGTTCATAATATTGTCAAACATTTGTTTGGTTTGTATTTGATATCAAGTTGCTTTTCATCTGTATAAATTAAACAAAATCAGACAGTAGGTGTCTTTCAGCGTCATTCAACCACTGGCTTAGGAACACCAATTAATATGTTTATCTAGGATAGGTTATATGGATTAACATCTACTAAAATAAACATGTTATTCATTGTATTGGCAATCATCATGCACAAGATATTACATAACAAACATAATTAATGTTCCTTTTTATTGGTTTAAAAAAAGATATAGAGTTCAGTTGCTTAATGACAATGAATGCTTGATTGAATTGTAATGATGTACAAGGATACCGTGTTCAATGAGCTTAAAGTCTCTCTTGGAAGGAAACTTTCTCTGTTCAATTTTAATGAACATCACATATAATATTAATAAAGCTCTGTGTTCCAGGTGTATGTAAGTTTAATACGGTAGTAAAATGACCTGTAAAATGATAACTAAGCCCAAGAATAAAAATTATATATATTGCGGTTTACCAGTCCTTAGATGTGGTTACTGTATTAGTTATCATTTTTAGCTATGAACACCTTTATAATCTGACCTAGGTGAGACAGAAATTATGAAGGACAGAAAGTGTGTCATTCTCAGGATAACTAGGTTAAAATAGAGGGAAAATGCCTTTAAAAAAAAGATAGTAAAAGGTTCAATTAAATACCCGTGCCCCAAAGCTTACATCCTCTTCACTCTTCTATCCCTCCTTTTGACACATGTGCAAGCAGGGGCGGACTGACAATTCATGGGGCTCCTGGGCAATAGAGGATCATTGGGTCCCTGTTTCCTTGCCCAAACTCAAAAAAGCATATGAAAAAGGTACCAGGGGCATCTCATGGGGCCCTCTACTGACCCCGGGCCCTCGGGCAGTGCCCGAGTTTCCAAATGGTCAGTCTGCCCCTGTGTGCAAGTTACTCTGGTTGGAGCATACACAGAATAAGGATTCTCTCCCCATGTCAGTGATTGGCAACTGACTTCTCGGGTACAGAATACTGTATTTTGGGAACAACGGAAAAAAACCACATGCTCACTAGCCTGGTAGTATAAAATATAATTATGATGGGGTTTTATCACTGTCTTCTCAATGGCAGGTGAAATTTAGGTATATTTACCGTTCTAATGAGCTGCTGTAAAGGAATAGTAGGTATCTCTAGGTACCTACTTATTGCTTTTGTTTTTTTTTTATTTTTGCTGCACACCTCAGTATTTTATAATCTCAGAGTGGTATGTAAATTTTGATCTACTTTTTGTATTTAAGATTAAAAACCCTTCCTACTTTCTTCACCGTACTATTT